CGCGGAGCATCCTCCACTCGCGGCCTCTGGCCTCCGGCCTCCCGCTGAAGAGGAGCCCCCCGGGCCGGGCCGGGCTCGCGACGTTGCGAAACGGCGCGTCTGCTCTCCGGCCCTATTTCCTCATACGCAACTCCTGAGACCCATGGAGTCTCCAAGTGGCGTCTGTCCATATGCTAATGAGCTGGCCACCGGAAGGACCGGGGTGGGACAGAGGGAGGCGCGAGGGGCTGGGGACTGAGCGGGTCACCAGTGGCCCGTGGTTCAGTCAATCATGTCTACGTCACGGCGCGTCCGTGTTACGCAGCGGCGCCTCCATAGAAACCCGAAGGCGGCGTCGGGCGAGCTTCCGGTCCGCAGGGCGCGAGAGGGGTCCTGCAGGCTGGCGCGCCAGGGCTGGCGTGGTGGCTCCGCGTCCTGCGCATCTCTTCGTCTCGTATCCTTTTCGATAAATCCTTTACCTCTGTAATATCCTTTACAATAAATCGGTAAGCGTCCGCATTGCCCGAGTTCCGTGAGCTCCTTTAGCAGATTAACCGATCCCGAAAGGGGGGCTGGGGGAACCCCGACGTGAAGTCAGTCAGCCGATGAGAAATTCCGGAGGCCTGGACTGGCCCCCGGTGTCCGGGGCTGGGGGTGGGGCGGCCTCGGGGACGGAGCCCGCGGTCCGTGGGACCTGACGCCATTCCCAGGTAGCGTCGCAGTTGAGTCGGGGGACCCCCGGCTGGTCTCCACTGCAGAGCTGCGTGTTTTCTTGGCGCGTAGGGTGACATCCCCACACTCGTGTGTTCACGAAGGTCTTCTGCGCCGATGGCAGCTGTGGTGTGAGAGTAGAGGAAAAACTGATTTCCTGACCTCCAGGGTCCTCAACTTAGTGACACTGGCAAAGTCTTTTGCTACGCAAGGGCCACCTCCATGGGTTCTGGGATCAGGACGTGGCTCTGGTTGGGGCGCGATGCCTCCGGTCTACGGCAGGCACCAACTCCTCCCTGCCCTTGGTCCCCCAGGCAGGCCAGCGTGGCGTGGCCTCCGTGGCGCAGTGTAACTTAAGGGCCCTCCTGCGCCGTGGCTCAAGTGCGGGGACCCCTCCCTGCCGCCCAGAGAGAGGGAGGGAGGAGCGGGGTGTGGCTCAGCAGTGGCTGGGGAGCCCCGCCTCAGCCCCATCCGTAGCAGACCCGGCTGCTCGTTGGTCCTGCCGCGTGAGGCCGGTACAGCCACCCCCCAGGTCGAGCCATTCGCTAGGGGACTCCCAGGTCACAGCCTGTAGTCGTAGTCAGCTACCATTTGTTACGGCAGAAAGACACAAAGCAGTGTCCGCAAAGAGAAGAGGTTTGTGGGACGGAGTCCGGGGGAAGCCAGCAAGCTCCCAGGAGTCCTCGCCCAAGTGGAATCCCATGGAATACACTAATCCCCCCAGTAACGAGTGAACGCGCGTGAAATGTTGTCCTCCAGGCGCACCGGTTGCACACTCGGTGTCCAGGCTCCTTACTGTGAGCTGCTCGCAGGTCGACAGCCTCCGCCTGGCAGGTGCCAAAGTTCCAGGCTTCCAGAAGGAAAGCAGGCCTTCGGCATTAGCCATAAATTCTGTGGCAACTGGGCTCTCCCCGCCCCCCACTCCCCCCACCTACGTGCACACGGTGACTCACAGGGAGCCGTTCTTGCCATTCAGGGAAAGCTGCACATCAGTGCAGGGGAGCGCCAGCCTCTCAGGACAGCAGCCTCGCGCCTGCTGGGTTGACGTTCCCAACTTGTTTCCCCCGACCCAGGCAGGGGGAAGGCAGGCACAGCATGATTAAGAGCCAGGCAAGTGGGGGCAAGTGCCCCACTTTGAACCCTGGCTCTGCCACTTTGCTGCCTTGTGGCCTTGAGTGAGTGATTCCCACCAGTCTGGGCTTCCACATCCTCATCTGGAAAATGGCGTCATGAATAGCACTTGTGAGAATTAAATAATAAGCCTTAGAGTGTTGCCTGGCACATGTAAACATTCAATATTTATTAATCTTGTTAATAATTATTCTTAGGTTGGGGCCAGGCACAGTGGCTCACACCTGTAATCACAGCGCTTTGGGAGGCTGAGGCGGGAAGATCACTTGAGGCCAGGAGTTCAAGACCAGCCTGGGCAACATAGCAAGACTCTGTCTCTACAAAAAATTTTAAAAAATTAGCCGGTCATGGTGGTGCACACCTGTAGTTCTAGCCACTCGAAAGGCTGAGGCAGAAGAATCACTTGAGCCCAGAAGTTGGAGGCTGCAGTGAGCTACGATGGCCCCACTGCACCCAGCCTGGGCAACAGAGCAAGATCCTGTCTCTAAAATAATAATCTTAGTATTAACTTTGACTGTTATTTTTTTACTACTGCTTTATCCTGCAAAGAAAGAAACATAATAAAGCAAGCATTCTTCTGGCTGGGCTCCCTTAAACAGTACAAGGCCATCTTATGGTTCACATTTTACATCAAAACATACCCGTTGTCTAACTCTGAACTTAAGCATGGCCTTGGTTTTGTTATCTTCCTCCATCCCCAGGGGAGGAAAAAAACCAAACATCTGTAGAGGGAAATGCCCATATTTCTGCTTTTCAGGCTTCATTCTGCTGTACCTTTCTCATAGAAAAGTCACAAAAAGAGCTTTGGGGGATGTATTCGCTGTTGTCAGACCAGGGCACGGTGATGATGTTCGTCCAAGGCACGTGCCGAAGGATTTAGGGATGAAGTGCCGTCAGGCTACAGCTTTCGACCAACTCCGTTTTTTAAAAGCATAAGGAAAATGTTAACATTTTTCTGAGTGATCAGAAGTTCATTTCACTGTTTGTTTTACTCTTGTCAAGATTTCAAGCTTTCCACAATGAGGGAAATAAAAAGTATGTCCCCATTCCTGCCCTTCTCCAAATGACCAGTTTAGAGGGCTGTGGAATGGCCGCCAGGAGAACTGCTTCCCTGCAGGGGTTTCAGCCTGGGGTGCTTGAAAGCCACCTCGGTTTCAGCCCACAAGGAAGCACGTGGCGGTTGTGGTTGTTGAGCGCCGACTCTGTGTCAGGTGGGTTCCCAGCCCTGGGAGTAGAGCAGTGAACGAAACACCCAAGGTCCCTGTTTTCCTCAAGCCCAAATCACGTGTGCGTGTGCGTGTGCATGTGTGCGTGTGTGTGTACTAACCACGTAAACACATGCATAAGCAAGCTGTTCTCAGGAAGCAGCAGGTACTATGAAAAAAATGAGGCAATACAATAATATAGACTCCACAGTATGGAGTGGCACTGTCCTACAGAAACATAGTGTAACATATATAATTTTAAATTTTCCAGTAGGCACATTGAAAGAGGGAAAAAAACTCAAAAAGTAATCCTTAAGTTAATTTTAATAACATATTTAACTCATTATATCTAAAATATTACCATTTCAATATGCAATCAATATAAACAGATATTTCACATTCTTTTTTTATATGAAGTCTTCAGAATCCCATATAAGTTTTATACACACAGCCCATCTCAAGCTGGACCCTTAATTCTCATCAGAGATACCTGATCTGTACTTAAATTGTGTAAAATTCACCATTGGAAAAGTAGAGTCACATACCCAGGTTGTTCCAAACATACTTAAAAATTTTACAGTAACTGAATTATCAGTTTTTTCATTTTAAATTCATAATAAATTATTTTTAATTTAATAATTTTAACTTTCATTAATTATTGTTTTAATAGTAAATTGCTTGAGATTAAATGCAGTTGAGTTCCTCGGTTGCCCCAGTCTTATTTGCAGAGCTCAGTTGTTGCATGTGGCTGGTGGTGTGTGCCTTGGACAGGACGGGTGTAGACTGAGGGTGGAGGCGCTTTTGGACGGGTGGTCAGAGGGGCCGCCTTGAGGAGGTGAAACCTGACCGCATCTTACCCCTTCCACCGCCCCACCCTAGTCCACTCTGCCAACACTTCCCCCTCGGTTTCTGCACAGCTATCTAATGAGTTCCCGCCTCAGCCCTTGCCTTTCCCCCAACATACACGGTTTATTTGCCACAAAGCCACACAAAAAAATTCTGTTGAATGTTAAGTCAAATGATGTCACTCCCCTGCTCAGCTCCCCCTTCTGTCCCCGTGATGTCACACGCTTGGGATCAGATCCAGGCTGCTCACCACCTCATGATCCAGCCCCTCCTGCCCTCAGCCAGCTCCTCCCTGCTGCGTTCACTGGGCTTGGGCACACCTACCCTTGCTTCCCTCCACACTCCCAGCCTGCCCCTGCCCTGGGGCTTTGGCACCTGCTGTGCCTCTACCCAGAATGCTCTTCTGACACCCGTGTGGCTTACACTTGCTACATTCAGACCTCAGCTAGATGTTGCCTCCTCAGAGAGGTCTTCTCTGACCACCCCGTCACTCTATCCCCTGCCCTGGCCTTTTTTTCCTTCATAGCGATGACCTTGGCTATCACTGTGTTTTATATGGACCTGTTTTCCCTACTGGGCTGTAAGGTGCACGGAAGCTGGCACCTTTATGCCCTTACTTGCTGCTCTCTCCCTAGCACCTGGGACTGCACCCGACACCTCATAGGCACTCAATAAATAATAAATAACTTGTCAAATGGGTGACCAGGGTGGGGTATGGTGGCTCACACCTGTAATCCTAGCACTTTGGGAGTCCGAGGTAGGAGGATCACTTGAGCTCAGGAGTTCGAGATCGGTCTGGGCAACACTGCAAGACCCAGTCTCTACAAAAACTTTTTCAGGTCAGCCAGGCATGGCAATATGCTCCAGTAGTCCTAGCCACTCAGGAAGCTGAGGTAGGGGATTGCTTCAGCCTAGGAGTTCGAGGTTACGGTGAGCTGTGATCATGCGCCGTGCACTGCAGCCTGAGTGACAGGGTGAGACTCCGTCTCCTAAAAAAAAAAAAAAAAAAAAAAAATTTTTTTTAAATGGACGATCAGGTGGCTGCACAGTCCTCATCTGTCCCCTGATCGAGAGCCTGCCTTGATCGTAGGAGCAGTGTTGGCAATGCCATTCCCCGACCCTGGGAGGTGGCAAGAATGCTCCAACTGTTCTGACTTCCGTGTGTGTGTGTGTCCAGGGCCTGTGGACTCTGGGACCACTGAAGAGGCCCAGTCAGCCCCGTGACCTCACTTCTCCCCAGCTCTGCCTTCCAGTACTGTGTCTCTCTCGGAATGTGGACCCCAAAGAGGAAGGAAAAGATGCCTGCTGTACGAGGGAAATCCAAACCCAAGGTAAGTGACGATGCCTCTTCTTTCGGGAATAGTCCATCTTGTCTTGTAAGCCGTAGACCACTTGCTTCCCTTCCACGGAGACTCCAGCCTGTCTCAGACCCATCCGGCACCTGGTCCCTGGTTTATTCCCGTCACCGTGGAGAACAGGAGCCTGAGAAGGGCCCCGTGGCCCTCTCTCTGTTCCTCTCAGTGTGCGCGTGGCCACTCAGCGGTCCGCTCTGCATCTCCAGGGGCTCTGCCAGAGCTGGGAGAACACCCCCCGCACGGCAGACGAGAGCCACTGCGGTTTCTCAGGGTAGAGACGAATGCCTGGTGGGGACCTGCCGAGGCGGAGGGGATCCATCGTGTGCCTCAGAGTCAATCTCGTCGTGACGCTTGGTTTACCTGCAGGAAATCTCTCTCGCTAGGTCCCAAGTCCAAGGGGCACCGCGTAGCTCTTTTATCCCACCGAGTGTGTGGGTGCCCGGCAGCGAGGTGGTGGGCCAGCCTCCTGTGGTCAGCGTGCTTCACGACTATGGACGATCAGGTGGTTTCCACGGCGGCATGTCAAGTGCAATTTCCCATAACAAACTCATTTGCCTTCAGAGCCGTGTGCATTAGCTCCGTCTTGCTGCTGTGATACGTCAATCACAAACTCGACAGCTCAGGCAGTACATGTTTATTATCGTGCTGCTTCCTGGGGTGGAGTCCCGGCACAGCGAGGTTTGGCGGCATCCTCTGCGGGCTGAAACCCAGGTGTCAGCTGGCTGCTTTCTCATCCGGGGCCGGGGTCCTCTTCCAGGCTCGCTGGGGATTGGCCAGATTCAGTTCCTTCTCATGCTTTCCACGCCACCCTCTTTTTCTGTCTCCATCCAACAACAAGAAATACCCAAGCCAGCTGGGTCAAGGCCAGGCTAATCCACCTATTTTAAGGTCTCCCTATATTAAAATTAACTGCTCAGTAACCTTGATTACACCCTCAAAGAAACTTTTGCCACATGTGACATACTCACATGCTCTTCAGAGACAGCACGTGGTTGGGAGCTGGGGTTTACTAGCCGTAACACCTTCAGTATTACCTCACCTTCTGTGGGCCTCAGTTTCCTCGTCGGTGACATACTGTGATCCCACTGGCAGTGCCTCTGGCACTGGTGAGTGTGAACACTGAGTGATGCAGTGTGGTTGCTTACAGAAACGCCTCGGCTTTGTAAAATGCCGGTTAGTATCAAGTTGTTACGTCTTTTATGCAGCGTGATCTTTAGTAACAGCTATATCATATCGCATTATATTGTGTTTATTACATTTAACATACCTGCTCCTTTTGGCCTCAGAACCCAGAAAGCTTCCCGAATAACTCCTGGCACCATTGTCTCCTTGTTTGGGCTGCGCCCACTGGTTTCTCCAGCTGTGTGGAAGCACGGGCCCATGGTGAATGGACACGTGGTTTCCATTTCAGGCACCGGTGACGTTCGGGGACGTGGCCATCTACTTCTCCAAGGAGGAGTGGGAATGCCTGAGCCCCAATCAGAAAGATCTGTACGAAGATGTCATGATGGAGAACTACCAGAACCTGGCCTCCATCGGTAAGGCTCTGCTTCCCGCGTAATCCAGAATCGTCCTGCTGATGGACGTGTACGTCAGGGTCTAGTCAGGAAAACAGAAGTCAATTCCAGTTTTGTTTTGTTTTGTTTTGTTTTGTTTTTTTTATTTCAGCAAATTATGGGTGTACATACGTTTAGGTTACGTGTGTTGCCCTTGGTTCCCCCCCCCACCAAAGTCCGTGTTTCAAATATGTCCATCCTTCGGGTAGTGCGCATTGCACTCCTTGTGCATACAAATACCCGTCCCTTTTTTAAGTATTTTTAACAGACTTACTGAGATATAATTCACATACTATACAATTCACCCATTTAATGTACAATTCCATGGTTTTTAGGGTATTCACCGTCATGCATCCATCACCGCAATCAATTTTAAAACATTTTTATCACCCGCAAAAGAAACCTAGTTCCGATTAGAAATCAGTCTTCATTTCTCCCACCCAGTCACCCCCCAATTAGGCAACCACTAGTCCACTGTCTTTCTCTATCGATTTGCCTGTTCCGCGCCTCCGTACAAATGCAGTCGTAAATATTTAATATGTGGCCTCTTCCACTTACAGCGTTTTTGCGGTTGATCGTGTTGTAACAAGTGCCAGAACTTCATTCCTTTTCATTGTGTGAATAGACCACATTTTGTTTATCCACTCAGTAATTAATTTAGGGGCATTGGAGTTATTTTCACTCTCTGGCTGTTAACTGTGTTGCTAAGAACATTCATGTACAAGTTTTTGTGTGGATGTAAGTTTTCATTTCTCTTAGGTATATACCAAGAAGTGGAAATGCTGGGTCATATGCAAATTCCATGTGTAACCTTTGGAGGACAACCTAGTTGTTTTTAAAAAAAATCATACATCGATTTAACAGGTGCTGTTAAAAGCAAAAAGTGGATATTGATGTATTAGTAGAAACAAACCCAAACTCCGTAAAATAATGTTAAGAGGTTTATTCCGCGCCAAGTGTCTGTCACCAATGGCCCAGAGCACATGTTTTCAAGAGGTTCTGAGAAAATGTGCCCGCAGCAGCCTGGTTCCAGTTTGGTTTTATACATTCATGGAGACAAGAATTACATGTAAGATAATAAGTCAGTATGTGGAAGGTGTATATTGGTTTGGCCCAAAAAGGCTTACAGGTTATAGGTGGGTTTAAAGATTCTTTGATTTGTAATTGGTTAAAGAAATGAAGCTTTGTCGGCTCCCAGCATTTTAAGGTAAGGATGTCTGTTAATCAGAGACAAGCCACCAGACATTTACGAAAACTCAGGTGATCTGTTAAATAAATTCGTGGCCAGCAGGTGTGGTTTAACCTTTGTCTTGCGTGGCCTTAGGTCCCGTTAATGATTTAGTATCTTATTCTTATTCTCAGGTAATTCCAAAAGGCAGGGGGCATGATGAGGCGTGTCTGACCTCAGGTCTAGCAACTCAGCTTTAAGGTTTTTCTGGGATCCCCTTGGCCAAGAGGGCATCCATGCAGTTGGCTGGGGGGCTTAAGATTTTATTTTAGTTCACAGATGTAGTGCAGAGACAGTAACTGCAGGATGCTGCCACCATCCCTGGGGCAGCGGGGACAGAGGGAAGCATTTGGGGGTTTTAGGACTCAGAGGAAAGTCCCCACAGAGCTGAAACTCAGACATCTATGTTCCTGTGACCCTGTCCTCTGATACAGCCATTTGCTAGAGCAACTCACGGAGCTCAGGGATGTGCTTTCCTTACATTTGCCAGTTTAGTATAAAGGATGTCACAGAAGACGAGCAGCGGCTGGGAGGGTGCAGAGGGCAGGTATGGGGAGGGGTGCAGGGCCCCCGTGCTCTGGCCGTGTGGCTGCGTGCTCTGCCCTCCACTTGTGTGGCAACCCGAAAGTCTCCCAGAGCGGTCCTTCCGGGCTTTTGTGGGGGCTTCATCACGTAGGCGAGGTTGATTAAATCGCTGTCCATTGGTGACCAACTCAACCTCCAGCCCCTCTTCCCTCCCGGAACTCAGGAGGTAGAGCTGAAAGTACCAACCTTCCCGTCACAGGGCTGGTTCCCGTGGCAACCAGCCCCTGTCCAGAGGCTGTGCAGGATCCCCCGGCCACCGGTCATCTCACTAGCATACACAGACTTACCCGTTTGGAGGCTGGAAGGGTTTTGGGAGCTGTGTGCCCGGAGACAGGGATGAAGACCACATGTATTTATCATAAATCACAGTGTCACACTCCCGTCTCCAGCTGCCTTCGCATCCTGTGTGCTCCCTTCCTGCTAATGAACCCGCACACCTGTTGCCACAGGGTGTGGCCCTGCATTCTGTGGTGTCCACATTGTGGTCATTTCGCACGTTTTCCCTCGCGCAGGTTTTTCCTGTCGGAGGCCAAACGTGATCACCTTACTGGAGAAAGGGGAAGCGCCCTGGATGGCGGAGCCGCTGAGGAGACGCCAGGGCCCTGGTGAGTGACGGAGGAGCGAGGCTGGGTCTTAGCCCGCTGGGGCTGCGGTGGCAGGACACCGTGCAGCAGGTGGCCGGCAAACGACAGAAATGGACTGCTCCCGGCTCCTGAGGCTGGAAGTCCAAGATCAAGGTGCAGGCAGATTCGGTAGCTGACGAGGGCCCAGTTCCTGGTTCGTAGGTGGGGCCTTTTCCCTGTGTCCTCACACGGGAGGCAAGGGACAGGGGAGTTCTGTGGAGGTCTCATTTATAAGGGCACAAGTCCCATTCACGAGGACTCTACCCTCATGACCTAATCACCTCCCAAAGGGACTACCCTTAACATCATCGCTTTGTGGGTGAGGGTTTCAGCATGTGAATTTGAGGGGACACAACACTCAGTCTGTCGCAGCGTAGCAAAGCAGGCATTCTGCACAGGGGTCCACGTGCGTGTAAGGAGGGCAACCTCTTTAGGGTGTTATTTTACAGCGTCCCCCTTCCAAAGGCCCAGGCCTGTGCGTGGAAGTCGGGTCTTTTTAATGTGAGTCCTTGAGGGAGAATAACCAACGTTCCAAAGCCCTCACTAGCCGTCAGGCACTCTTCCTATAAAGTGGGTGCTGTTATTACGCCTAGGTTACAGATAAGCAAACGGAGACCCAGAGAGGTTTGGTGACTCAGCCAAGGTCACCCAGCGAGGATGGGGCAGCAGAGCAGGGTTTGAAGCCCAGGCTGCGCCTGTATCCAGAGTGTTCCGCCCCACCCGTTGCCACCCCCCAAGAGAAGGTGTATGCTGACCTCTGGTTATAACACTAATCATGATAATGTTCGAATTTGTATTATTTCATCCATTAAAATTTTTTTTTAAATCTTTTCTATAACTGTTCTTTTTGGCTACTCCTTTCCTTTACAAATAGATTCCTCTTTGGTTGGCAAAGTTATATATTCTTTTATGTGTTTCTTTAAGTAGCATTCATTGAATTTCTGCTTGAACAGACACTGTCTAGGGACTACGGGTTGGCAGGGTGGTGTGAGCCAGGAGAAAAGTGCACCAACCTAGGCATACGACTTTGGCGACATCCGTGTCTGAGGGTGCGTGACAGACACAGCCAGGTGGCAGCCCAGTGCAGACAGAAGGGCCCGTCTTCATGTCTACCTGAGAGGGGAAGAAATGTCCTTCATTAAAACACTGTTGCAGAAGAAACTTAGCCACATTACATAAAATTTAGAAAAAAGACAAGATAAAAGTAGCTATGCAACTATACTTGTTTATTTCATGAAATGGATTGTCATGCTTATTCTAATAAAATTCATACATTTTTGCTTATTTCCACATTTTGCTTCAGTGGAAATGTTCTACAGTAGTAGTCTCTTGTGTCCTGTTTTCCATTTAGATTCTAATTTCTTACCAATATCAGCATGTTTCTATAAGTGGCTGGCTTTGCTTTTTTTCTGTCGCATCAAGTCACAGAAGTGGGATCACTGGTGTCAAAGGGTAGGACCGCTTTTCAGACTCTAGATGCTTCCGAATTGCTTTTCAGAATTGTCAGATCACCAGCTTTCCATACGAAGCCTGGCACTGGGTCTTCTTCAGTTGTGAAACCTCACACATCGTGTGTGTCTTGGTCACAATTAGTCTCTGGGAGAATGAAGCACAGCCTGTGTGACTCCACGGGGACAAAACTCCTGAAACTTGCACCTGGTTTCCTCTGGACTTTGCCAGTAATCTTTTTCCCTGCGCCCATTTGCTTTGTATCCATTGCCGTAATAAATCATCGTCACGAGAACAACTTGAAAAGGAGAATTATCCCATCAGCACCATCAACAGCAATGGGGTGTAGTGTCAGTTTCATTTTCTCACTCACTAGTACTGGATATTGTCATTACAACTTTTCTCTAATTTGGTAAAATAAATGAATAGCAGTCAGCATTTACTGAGAACTTGCTATGTGCAGGGTCTACGCTAATGCCTGTGAGTTCGGTGTCTCATCAGATCCCCACAGCACTTGTAGGAACCTCTCATTCCCGTGTGTTGGATGAGGGTCGGAGTCTCAGAAAGGTGAAATTCCTTGCTGGCGTCTCCTGTAAGCCCTGGAGTTTCTCTCTTGAGCACCTGTGGACACACTGGACATCCACTCTGTTCTACACACCCAGGAAAGACCACACAGTCTAGTATGTTTGCTGGCATTTGTTTGTTTTCTGTTTTCACTTTTTCTCCTATGGATTTTCTCCTGATAATCTTTCCCCTTCTACCAGTGACTTTGTTTCTTCTTTTCAACTTCTATAGTAAGCTTTCATATAGAAAAGGCATTAACCATTTGACATCACATTTTACTTCAAACATTTCCCCATTCTGTCTTAAAGCTTTTTGTTTGTTTGTTTTCTTTTCCAAATTGGTTTTTTTTTTTTTTTTTGAGACAGAGTCTCGCTTTGTCACCTGAGCTAGAGTGCTGTGGCGTCAGCCTAGCTCACAGAAACCCCAAACTCCTGGGCGCAAGAGATCCTCCTGCCTCAGCCTCCCAAGTAGCTGGGACTACACCACGCCACCATGCCTGGCTAATTTTTTCTATTTTTAGTATAGAAAGGTCTCTCTCTCTCTCTTACTCAGGCTGGTCTCGAACTCCTGACCTCAAGCGATCCTCCCACCTCAGCCTCCCAGAGTGTTAGGATTACGGGCGTGAGCCACCACACCCGGCTCTAAAGCTTTTTATTTTACTTATCTCTATTTTTCTGTTTGGTTGTGTGAAAGTTGTTTTCATTTTCCTGTGCTTGAATGTGTGCGATCATGCTGTCATTTCTCCTGCTGTTTCCACGGTTAGAAATTCATCTGCTTTGTAGAGCGCTGGCTATATTCCATGTTATTTTAGTTTGATTTTTAATGGCTTTATCATTTAATAGTGACCCACATTTGGTGCTGAATTTTGGTGTATGCTGTGGTCTAAGGGACATCCACACTGAGGACAGGGACAGGAGCTGAGGGCAGTGTTACGTTCCACACGAGGAAGAGCGAGGCCCTGAGCGAAGGAAGGTGCGGAGAGAAAGGAAAGGAAGACAGGAGTCGATGTGACTTACGGGCTGAGGGGCAGGAGGGATTCGAGGATAAATCTTGGGTTTCTTGTTTGGCTAGTGCTGCCAGCCTCACTGTGAAAATTCCAATAATTTCTCTTCCTTAATTCCTCATTTTGCCCGTTGTTTTGTGGCACTTCTGATAATGATAGTTATAGTGATAGCTACTCCCCGATACCCCCCAACTGCAAGTCCTCAAAGCTTTCTCCAGAACCCTTGCAGCGAGATGTGTTTCCCACTTCAGACTCGTTCAGATGTTAGAAAGGTGAACAGGCCGCTCACGGCGTGTTGCCTAACGCATCCCGCCGGGGCTGGGCCGCGCCTGGGAATCAAGCGCGTTAACCCAGCTGCAGCCAACACACGACGCGTCTGCCTCGCGCAGCAAATGGAGGCTGTGAACAGCCTCTATGCACTTCAGGTGGGATTTTGTTTAAAATATCCAAACATCCAAAAAGAAAAAAAAAGAAAAGAGGAAAGAAAGCTTTGGTTCTCAGATTTTTGGATACTGGAATGGCAGACGGGAGATTATAGTATGTGCCAGAAATTTTGTCCACGTTATTTCCAATTTTCACAAAAATTCTGTGAGGTAGGTCATTGTATCTACATCTTAAAGAAGAGAATATGCTGATGGTAACGGAGGTGAAGAGAGGGTCTCAAGGTGACGTAGTTAAATAAATACTTCACTGTAGTCTGCTGTTGAAGCACCGCTATGCAACAGAAATATAATGTGAGCCACATATGTAATTAAATTTTTCTAGTACCCACATTAAAATCGATTGAAAAAAATAGGTAAAATTAATTTTAATAATATATTTTATTTGGCCCAATATATCCAACATACTACAACATATAATCAATATTTTTACAATGAAATACTCTGCATGCTTTTTTCCTGTAGTAAGTCATCACTGTCTGGTGTATATTACAGCGCACCTCAGATCAGACCAGCCGTATTTCAAGGGCTTATTAGCTACATTTGCCCAGTGCCTGCTATATCGGACAGCACAATTCTAAAGCCCGTGTTCTTTGTTGTGCCACACTCCCTCAGATTAATAATCAGTCTGCTACACAAGTACTTATTTTGAGCCATCTTGGACGTTTGTACCACACTCCAGTTGGTCTATTTTACTAAATAATAGATTGAATCTTTAGCCTAATGTGTTGCCTTTTTTTTTTAAGAGATTTTTTTACTTCTGAGTTTAAAATCTTCAGCCTTCTGCATATCTAAATACAGTCATATGCCACATAATGACCTTTCAGGAAACAGTGGGCTGAATGTATGATGGTGATCCCATAAGATTATATAAACCACATTTTTACTGTATAATATTTTTAAAATTTTTAATTATGGGTACATAATAATTGTGTATCCTTATAAAGTACATGTGATGTTTTGATACAGGCCTATCAATGTAAATTGACCAAATCAGGGTAATTGGCGTATCCATCACCTCAGGCACTTACCGTTTCATTCTGTTAGGAACATTCCAATTCCATGCTTTTAGTTGTTTTAAAGTATACCCTAACTTGCTGATTATAGTCACTTGGCTATCCTATCAAATGTTCATTTATCTAACTATTTTTGCACCCGTTAACCATCCCCCCATTTATCCCTCCCTCCCCGCTACCCTTCCCAGCCTTTGGTAACTTGTCATTTTACTCTCCATCTCCATGAGATCAATGGTTTTTCGTAATAGCTCCCACATATGAGTGAGAAAACGGAAGATTTGTCTTTCTGTGCTTGGCTCATTTCACTTAACATGAAGTTCTCCAGTTCCATCCATAGTGTTGCAAATGGCAGGATTTCATTCTTTTTTGTGGCCATATAGTATTTCATTGTGTATGTGCCACAATTTCTTTATCCATTCATCTATTGCTGGACACTTAGGTTGATTCCAAATCTTGGCTGTTGTGAATGTGCTGCAATAAACATGGGAGTGTAGATACCTTTTTCATATA